TTACAAACTATCTACACATCGCTTACAGGATCATAGATAGTTTGCGGATGTACTTCATGGTAACACATTTTCTACTGAAAAGTGGTTAGTGAAGAGATGCAAGTTACCTTAGATAATGACGTAGAAGGATTGTTGGACTCTCCAAAATTCATTCTTGATAGATTCTCATAAAGCATATCAGACACATCAACAATCTACGAAAGAGAGAAAGCAACTGTAACGCATATGTTAACTATAAAAGTCGAGAAAAGTTATGATTTTTACCTCTATCCACTCAGCACAGAAATCAGAATACGGAGGCCGGTATATCTTAACCCTTCCTTCTGCTGTGCAAAGAGCCAGTAAACACCTGAACAGAGTTATTAGAATCACCAAATTAGAGAAAAAAAAAACTAAACAAAATGAAATGAAACATGTTGGCAGAAACTATACGAATCATAATACCCGTGGTTCGGAGACATTCCTATATCAGACCATGAGAGAGATCGAACACATGGGTTTCTTTCCCTCTTCAAACTCGAAGGTAAGAGTCCACCAATCAGCAAATCTGTAAATACATCTTCACTTAGTGAAACTTCCACACACACAAATAAAGTATTTTGGTAGTAAACCGTTATCGAAACTCTGACTGATCACAAAACAAAAAACACAAGAATCAATGGCAAAAAGATTGAATTTTCATCTCCTAGCTAGCACATAATTCTTTGAGCAGAATTTGCAAACATATAAAAGCAAGATTCTGACTTTTCACTCAAAATTTCGAACTTTGAAAGTTTGGATCTGAAATAACAAAACCTTGTGAGGGAACAAGACCAATCTGATAAGGGTCAGCATTAGGGATTGTGATCAATCCACGAGGTCCACTAGGTAATGCCGGATTCTGACAAAGTTCAAAACTTTTCGTCAATAAATTCAAAATTAATTAACCTTTCAAAAAACAAAGCAAGAAAAAACTCACGAGGATGATGACGAGGTGGCCAGCTCCGACGGCGATGAGATTCTCCGATGACCAAACGACGGCGTTTGGATACGACGGCGAAGTAACCAGCGAAGCTTCCTGGAATCGCGAAGCCATCGTTTTCAAACGAAAAAAGAGAGAGACTTTAAGGAATCAAAGTAATCATTGAAATTCGCGTCAAGAAATCAAGTGAAATTTGGAGGGAAAAAACTTGATTTGACAATGAATTGAGGGAATTTGATTCAGTACGGAAACCCTAGTTCGAATCGCAGTGACGCAGAAACAGATCCTCTCAATTATTATTTTAACATATTGTATTTCTTCTTTCACGAGATATTTATTTAACTTAATAATAAAATAAAAAGTCAACGTGCTCGCTCGTGGATAAATATTTTTCTAGTGAATTTTTCTTAGAAACGGTATCGTTTTTCAAAATGGGCTAAGCCCAAAACTCTTTGAAAGTCACGAGAGGATATTCACCACGAAGTCACGAGTTCGAAATTGCAGTAATAACGAGGGTTATTATTATCTGGGATTTTTTTTTGAGAAAACGGTGTCGTTTAAGTGTGGTGATAAGCCCAAATTAAGGGTTTTGAAAGCCGCGAGAAATATTCGCCGTCGCCGATGCCGGGAAATCGACAAACTTGAATCAATCTTCCGCAACTCTTGTTTCATTTTCCGGTGAGTTCGAATCTCAGAATTAGAAATTGTCCCAAGTTTTTTTTCCTTGAAATCCAAGCCTCGTTTTCAATTTTTCTGTGTCTGTGATTCGACAACACAATGAAGAACACATAGGTGAAATCGAATTGGA